CCAATTAAGCCTATTTATTCAAAAATATGAAAACTTCGAGACTAAGTTTTGTATGACTTGCACTCGAGTATAAATATCTTCCTCGCACATTTTACGGATTGTCTTACGAATTGCTAGCAGCCGCTACTACTATTTACTATACACAATAGTTTTTTTTGTTACTATTCTTGTAGTATTCCTTTTTCTGTTCCTTACATTACTTCCTTACCTCACTATAGCTATCAAATTAATGAAAAATTCGAACAAGACAAACAATAGCCTTAAATTTATTTCAGGTATATTTCTACATTCATGATTGTTAAAAGCACTTTTGTAACATAGAAACTGCTTCCAACGGCAATTAAATACAGACGCCAGTCTTCACTAAAAGATTAAAACTAAACCTCTTCATGTTATAAAAAGTAGCTCGCGTTTATATCTTCTTTTTATTTACGAGCTGCTATAGTATATGTATACGAGTTAATGGAGTTAATACTGATAAACAATATCAGCTATCGTGTATTCTTCGATCGAAATTAGCCTAACTTTAAGCTCTACTTTAAATAGGTTAGAGCACGAATGTAGCATGACATTAACCATGATCAGAGCACGATCTAACCTTTGAGTTCTCTTCTAAATTAGGTATCTAATTAACTATTAACAATCTACACATACCTGTATAGCATAACTAGTCATAATACGAGTACCATGACAATGATACCTTATTACGATATTAATAATGATTTCAGAACAATTTTAATGTAGAACTCACTTTGAAAGAACTTATTTTGATTAAGCAATATTGACTTTCAATGAAATATGCGTATTTAGATGATGAGATTATTAATTTAGAGAAATTATTTCTTAAAATTCTGTTTTGCTAACAGAAATAGTTTTATTACGTATCAGTAGTATGATAGCTGGTAGCATAATAAATACTTCTTTTCTTTAACATTAGTCGTTATGATATAACTAGTCGTAACATCTACAGTATCTAAACGGTTCGTTTTTTTATACTTTTGACGTTACTCAAAAGCAAAAAGCTTATGCAACAAAGCATAATTCAGCCAATATCTTAAAATCGTTAATTATTGATATCTCTTGTTAACAAAAGTTACATAAATTCAATAGCAATGATCTGATCCTAAAAGCTGGCTTAATTACATAATGAACATAAAGTTCTTTATGCAAAACTTTGAATTTATATACCTGCATGTGCATTAAAAGATTTTATCTTTATTTTCTTTATAGCCAGTATAGTTACTTAAATTAATTATCTATAAAATTACTGTTAAATCGTTTTTAGCCTAAAAACTAGGCGTTGCCAGATTATATTTTCGAATAGCCATTTATCTTGAAAATGAAAATGAAAATGAAATTTATTCGGGGCGTTAAACTATATTTCAATTTCCATTCATTTTTTTGGTTACTATTATAACTCAAGAAGTCTATCTTAATGATAAGTATTGTAAGCAAGTTTAATACATGCATCGCTTGGATAATCTTTAATAAATAAGTCAATAGAAGAAATACTGGCGGCAGGCCACGCTTCATTTTGCATAGCTAATTCTTTTAGGTAATAACTAAAATATAGAGGTTTTTTATGATAATTTGAAAAAGATTCCTTTACAGCAAGCGGTAAGTGATTATTGATCGCCTTTAATATATTATTGTATCTGATGAAACAAAGATGTTTTCTAGCCAGTTAATATAATGATATGATGAATTCTTAAGGTATTTATATTTTACATTTCTAAATCACTACCATATGAATTATAAATGTCTGGTTTGGCAGCAGATGTGAGATCTTATTATCATACTTCCCTGATTATTCATCAAATAGAAATATTGCTATGGTTTTTAATTGAGATTTATTCAGTTCTTGAATTAAGAAACTGCCCTCATTAATGTCAATCTTACTTGATCGTGTAAAAATTTTATTGGCTGTTAATTAAAAAATATTATCACTATATAAATTTTTCGAAGCGAACTCTTTAACGTTGTAAAATGACTTTCAACAAGCCACTTTAAGGAAACTGCGAATTTGTAAAGTTAGCATGAGTATAATTTAAGCTTAAAGTATTTTATGAAATCATAGATTTTTCGTGAATATCAAAATAAAAATACCATGATTTTAATTTTTAAAGTCAGGCTGAGAATTCCTTCATGTCAATATATATAGAATAGCAGATCTTTCAGCATTGGATAACTTAACAAATAGTTTGCTAATCAATAGCCAAATGCAAAGCAATGTTATAAACAAGGAATTATTGAATGAAAGAAAATTAAAGTTTAAAATAATAGTCTGTCTAGCTCCGGAGAACTTGCTTTAGTAATAGAATACCACACTTCCAATTTCAAATATTATTCCCAGTCAATAAGCAAACAACAGTATCTATACCTAACTGATTACTTTGTACTTATGCTGCTATTATTCGCTTCATCGATTTCTTTTCTTTGTTTCCTTTTCTGTATGATGCGTTTTATTCGTATTCATGCTATTATTGCCGCCTATCGTTTCTTAAACTCATTACAGCTTTTATTTACAGCTGCAAATCTTAGACTCCAATATTATCAAAGATTATTGTAACACTTCCGCTCCAGATTCTGAAGGACAGCCCTTAAGTCTTATTTATCGTATTTAATTAAAAGGGTTATTAAAACCTAAAATGTGGATCTTATAATATCAAATCTTTATTGACCTCTACTTTAGCTTCGGCATTATTTAGATTGCGATCTCATTGAGTGGATTAACCCAGAATGTCGAAATAAATCAAAACAAATCTATTTTAAGAATAGCATCAGAGTGTAGTATAACTTTACTACCTATCGCTAACTTTCATCTCTTACCTTCAACATGCACTCGGAACTTATATAACAGTAACTGAAGTAACGTCTGAATAATCACAATATGTTATCCAAGTGATTACTGCAGTAAATACTAGGTCTTAAATAATTCCTTATTCTATTATTTTCCTAAATGTGAAATTGAGGTCCCTTCTCGAACAACAGAATACTGCCTATTCAGAATTCATTTACAAGGATTACGTCAAAAGTAAATATTGCTGTCGAGCTGTGTCAATTATGAAATTTTATAAGAACACATTTTAAGCAAGGTAATACTCTCATCGATAACTTATCAATGCCTGCATATAACTCTATTACTCAATCTGTAGCACGTAAAATTAATTAAAAACAGACTTAGGGATTAGAATAATAACTTTATTCTAAATACTAAATGTCTGAGCACTTTTGTATTGATAATTATAAGGATTCGCAAAGAAAGTAACCGATTAAGACATCTTGCATTTATTAAAATTACTATATTTATTATATCATTCCTCTGTTGATCTAAACGAAATAATTGCACTCTGAAGCTGAGAAATTCCTGATTAAAAAGCGCATTTATATAGGCATATTTTATATTTAATTGTAACATCACGAATTTATATCTACCAACTGGTATAAAGCTATATACTCCTCAATTTCTTTACTGTTTCCTATTTGATGACTGATGTTCCAGTAATTAAGCATATTCATTGCCATTAGACGGTTTTAAATAATAAAATCACTTTAGACGTTAGCTTAGCATACCAAAATTCTATATTAGAAATGATACCATTTTCCAGTGGATGATATAACATTAGTAATCATTTCAACTCCTGCATTTCAAATTTGACAAGAATATAAAAGCAGAAAATTTTATAATCTATAATCAAATATTAGATTAAGCGAATAACGACCTAATTAATTAGGAATTGACATAACCTTTACAATATTTTAATTTGGCAGTAGCAACAATTTCAAAACCCAGAAAATAATCCACTAGTCTCTGTTATCTAATCAAACTCCGGCTGTCTGTCTTACATTTATACATTGTCAGCTAATGCTGTTCTAGCAATTAAGCAATTATTGCCTTTGCTCTCCTGATTATCATATTTTAGGTCGGCCATATTTAAGGATACTTTCGGGTCATAATAATTACCGCACTACGTTTAAACTATACAATGCACGGTATCAACTTGGCATCTGTTATAGTCCATAGGGTTTAGGAACTTCAGTATAAGTATCGGGGCGTCTAATGTAATAAACTATTCACCAATACAGTAATCCCTAGAAGTGCAAGTTAACAAACATGCAAGATTTCCGAAACCGATTAAAATAAGTAAATTTACTTTGATAGAAATGCTCTCTATCCTGATCTAAAGATCATCAATAGTATAAGAGTAGGCTACGACAACTTCAGCTATTATCGAAACTAGTTACTTGGTGCAGTATACTCTCAATCTTGCAAAAGTGAAATAGATGTAATGCGGTGTATCAATTAAGCAAGTTAAGGTAATTGATTTACGGAATAGAATTAATAAAGGGTGTATATGCCTTTATTAGCTATCTCGTTATATCAAAGTTGCTGTGGTTAGGGATATTTGTGACAAATTTACAGTAATAAATAACCGAAGAGCAAGCGTGAGGCAATTCCTGCATAAATTGTTGTACACGTTAATGAATCATAAATATATTTACTTTTAAAAGCCGACCAAGAATACGCCAAAGTGCGAAATAACAAGAAATGCCACAACAGCTGCTTCTAGCAAATCAGCTTAAAAAATTAGTGATACTTTCGCGTTAGCTTAATAAACTTTGCATTATCTAACTGCCACTCATTATCATTGACAATATAATTTCGAACCTATTGCTGTATACTCCACGTTGTGCAGTAGATTCTTTTAGCTAATAAACGCAAAAAATTAACATAACGATAGAAGAAATAAGAGTATTACTACAATTTTATAAAATTACAACAAACTATGCTGTTCGTGATAATCAGAATATTGATTTTTCGAGTATGAATGATAGAATACGAACAAAATTTTGTGCGTTTATAAGCGTTCAGAATTCTCTAGAATATTTATTGCGTAAAATATGTCGAAACAGTATTAATGAAATCTACACTATTCTATGAGATAGATACACGAATATGTGTAAGTCATATAGATAATGTATAAAGTCCGAATAAAGTAATGCCTCTTATTGACATGCTCATCTCCTTACTTATCTCTCTATTTCGAGCTCCTATCACAGAACTAAGGTAATATTCGTACATTGATATGTAAAATATGCTTTTCATTAATATTTTTCCAGTATTCAATGGTACTTCTTGTCTGTTTAATTCAAATCTGTCAATACCCTAGGATAAGCAATTTTTTTGTTACACAGTATTAGCGTTGAATGAAGCAAAGTTTATACTCGCGCGATAGCATATTTCGTAGAAGTAAGCCTTTAAATTTATGATTATTATAAATTCATGATTGGCGCTATTTTTGAACTGGGAGATGCACGAAAGAATTAAAAAGAAAAGATTGCTGTCGTAAGATAAAGATAGTTAATAGCCATAGGCGAAATGGCATAACTAAACACATTATCTGAAATATAGCGACGGAAAAATTCGGCCTTTGCAAAGTTAAAAGCCAGTAACTCAGTTTCAGCTAGGTAATTGCTAGTTCCTTAATGACATATATCATTAAATTACAAGTAGTATTGCAATTAATGATGTAGATGTGTTGTATTTTCAGTACATTGTAACTTGTTTAGAGCAGTTATTTTAGGTATTTCAGCTAGCTACATCGAATCAAACCTTCGTGATTTATAAATCACTAATAAATTCATCTTTATTTAGCCCTAACCTCCTTGCCCTAATATTTTTTACGATCATAATTGAATGAAATCTTTATACTCAACACTAAGAATTATATTTCCAGTTTACCCAGATATATACTCGCATATAAAACTTGTAATCTTTGCGAGCGAGATCATATTGATACGCGTATCATACAGCTATGTATAATTCTACTTTTCAGGAATCGTCTTTTCATGCTATTATTACGCTAATAATGTTACTTTATATAGACTATGCATGATTTGAAGGTCATTTTGGTAATTGCAGCACCTAATTTACTGATTATTTGCTATTTCGTGTGTCCAGCAAGTGTATCAGATGTTGATTCATTCCTATTCTACATGTGCAGATGGATTTCAAACTCTTTATGATCGTTTTACCACAAACATCTATATCTAGCTCGAGGGTATTTAGTTCGTTTCGATTTAATTCCATTTAATGAAATATTTTAATAATACACAGGCATAAAGTAAAGTATTTTGAAATCGAAGTAACAGATCATCATGGTAATATTTTTACAGGTAACAAATCAATACCATTACGGAATTATGGTGTACTAGCAACAAAATTTAAAAGTAGAATAATGCAGATCAAGGTTTGGGAGTTGAGCAATCTTCTCTTTTGCTACTCAATCAATTACATTCGGGCGTTTAGCTAGCTAAAAATCTTTCCTTCCTTCAAGAGCCAATAGAGGTTCTTTTGCTTGAGAGTTGAGTGATCTCGTCACGACGGCCAATTTACGTCTAATCTTCGAATAACTCGCCTCAAATCTCTTACCACTAGGGGTTACAGGTGAATAGATTTCCTTGACTTTATCTCCTTAGTAGGAGATGTCCTTTGCTTTTTCAGGAAACATCTTCGTGCTGTAATGACTCAGAATCTGCTTATCTTGCCGACACCTTCGAGTTGCCTGCGTACTCCTTTCTGATGTCACAGTCAAAGCCTTTGTTGAGCTAAGCGATTTTTATGAGATTGTCCTTAAATTTCGCCGACTTCTCATTCAGACCTAAAAAGATAAAATTTCTTTCTGCTTGCTGTCGATCGAGGTAATTGAGATTGATGTTTGAAATGCATGATCCTCTTTAATTTTTTGTTGCTAATTATTGTAGAGTCTCTACATAATAAAACACACGCTCTGATATTTTGCTTATGCAGTGTTGAAGAAGGAGGGTACGTAGTAATTAGAATTGCTTTAGTTTAGTGAATGCCTGTGTTACAGTGTTATATACTGTATTACAGTAGAAATATCAATGTTAGGATAATTCTATTAGACTATCCTTATTTAGTTAACTTCTAATTTGGATATACTGTATTTTAATATAGCACTGACTTTTTATGACAGTGACACTTATACACATACTGAAATTAATAGTTATAATAGGGAATGCAAATCATCTGCTTACAGTTCGAATCATTGTGATTGTAATTTACTTATGGTAGACTGTAAATTATCATGGAAATGTTCCGTGATAGGACATATCGTAATCTGACTATTCTGTATTAGTCATTATATGTCTATGTTCGTAAATACTGTTGTCTGCATTAAGGGAGCAGTAGCTAAAATTAATATCTAATTCAGTAAATGATTCTAATGTTAATTGTATTAACTATAACTCATGAACTATTGAGGAATAGTATATAAATGCAGTATATCTTGAAATAAAGAAGAATTGTCCAACTTAGTGTTTAACGTAAAATACGAGGCGTTTAAGTCTTTGTGTAGTCTGCTAGTAGAGCAAAAGTGTTTGTGATAGTACAGATATCGTTCCTTGATACGTGGTTCAAGGAATTGACTTATTGATCGTATATTGCGTTATCTTGTTGCAAAGCTGTTTTGTGACAGCCTGTAATGACCGAATAATAATCTTTTACTATTACCATAAGTTCGCGACCTCTAACTCTTAAATCTGAGTTATTTAACTTGAGTAAGTACTTATGATATGCAATAAACCGTCACAACCGAGAGAGCAGTTTTAAAAGTACGTTTATTATTCCATCTGTCCGTGAGAGTGAATTCAATTTTCACCTCTCATATAATCAGTCGAAAACGGCTAAGATAAACCGGATAAATGGACTTCGATTATTTTTACAAGCAATCATTTCCATACCAAATCATATAGTATAAGCTTACATCCTATAGTTAACGTATTAATCTAATACTGTTAAAAACCAGAAATTGACCCTGGTTAAGATGAACCGGATAACTTTTAACGCGTGACCAATAGTTTATCAATATCTATGTTAGGACGATACGTTACACACATATATATATGTTACATATATATAGCTATCATCAAAATAGCATAAATTAACATCATTGAAATCATTACAATGCCATTCATGGCTGTGTAAAGACTTAGCATGATGGAATACTGAAAATGGTGTAGACATACATATCAGGTAAGGAACTGCACAAACATTTAACTATGAATGAATGGTGGGACCTACAGTGAATGTCATGAGTTAAAAATTGATCGGTTTTACTATGGAAAATTGAAGTACTATGAAGAAGCATTTTCACACTTTTTCACTTTGCTCAGAGGAGCCACAAAAATTTGGCATTCAAATGTCTAAGATCTTCTAAATTCTAAATGTCATCTTACTCGAATTAGTATTTGACTACTTTAAGCTAGAAGATTTAAGATTAGGGTATTTTTGCAAATTGCAAATCAATGAATAGTACCAAACTTTCGGATGAATATCAATAAAATATAAAATAAATTAAGCCTGTAGGTATGTGATACATAAGGTATAGCGATGCAATATGTACGTAATTGGCTAAGGTAACGGTTTATTATCACGTGCTAATCGATTTTTTGTCAACTGATTGTTATGATACATAAATTTTTGCCATAACAATCGCTTAATATTGAAAGTATATCCTTGCAAATATTTAATTTTTTTTAGCTGAAGGTTTTGAACGTTCTAATTAATATCGGAAATAGAGTAAGAAAGTCCTCGTGTCAAGTATTGAATATCATCAAATGTTGGATATAAAGCAAAAAAATGGATTACATAGGTATATTATTGTTACGGTTTAAGATATTATGTGACAATGTTATTGAAGAAGAAATAGACGGTTACGATTAGATAATCATAAATATTATGAGCTGTTAATATTGTGAGATTCAATCGTTAATGGACTTCCATTAACGAATGTGTAGAAGTAAGGTACTTAATATGCCAATGACGTGTAATAACCAAAATGGCGGTTGTCACACTTGTAGGGAATCTGTTAGATCTTAAATTGTTAATTGGCGCTATAATATTATTAGCGCATAATAATATCAATTATCACATATTTGTTCGATAGTAATTAATAGGATTACAAAGTTATAGAAAAGACTAAGTTATGCATAAGAATAATTAACAGGTGGAAAAGGTGTAGATCTGATACAAGTATATAAGAGGTTGTAATTTACCTCGCTAGAGAGAGGAAAAATACGGAGACCTAATAAAGTTAGTTTAGTAAATTTATCTAGACGCTTCTAGTCCGCCTTTACTGTTGACTGAGGTCCTTCGCTGAAGTGGAGCGAGTAGTGACGCCTGGTGGCAGGTTTACGGTAGGACAGAGGAGAGTAGGATAAGTAAGAAACGGGAATCCGATTGTTGCAAACGACGTTGTGACATATTTGGTGGCAGCGGTGGGATCCCGGTTACTAACGACTAGTGCCAAGATCCGAAATTTAGTTTGGTGACAGTTAAAGATAAGATAAACGATTACGATGGCTTCTGGACCAGCTCCTTTCAAGACAAGCACTTTGGCTGACGTGGATGAAGCTGACGCCATAGATCGTTTAGAAAGATTAGATCATATGTCAGAAGTTGAAATTCGAGAAATGGCGAAAAGTATGGGAATTAAACTTTAAGCGATACTAATGTCAGAAAAGCAGTCGTAGTAGTCATATAAATTTTTTTGATAAGCGATTACGGTGATCTTCATAAAAAGCGAATTTTTCCGGATTTGTGTCCGATATAGTTTTCGGATTCTGGGACCGGTCGGGTTTGTGTCCGATATAATTTTCCTGTTTTGGAACCGGTCGGGTTTATTTTTAATTTATGTCTGAATTATAATTTTTCTGTTTTAATTTTTGGATTTTTGTTCATGAAAAATATCGTAAGAGTTGATTTTTGAGATTTGGACTTTTGTTATGAATTTGAAACTTTGGAATTTTATGACGTGACTTGAAGTCACATTAGGAGATTTAGTGAGGAAAATAGAAAATAAGATGGAAATTGGCAGAGGTTGTGTTGATTGTTGGGTAGTTAGAATGTTGTTTTTATGACTAAATCTTGATGTTTAAGGGTTGATTTTTAGACTTTTATAGCGTATTAATGATAGAAATTATGTTAGAAATGAAGTTTGATGTATTTTTATAGTTAGCTTGTTACTTTTATAGTGTTTTGTAAGGGAATCGTAGGGTAAATTGTGTCTGAACTTTGAATGATTTTGTTTTCTTAAATGGTGCAAAGTAGTTTTGTAAAACGGATCTTAAGAGCGATTGGTTAGCAAATGTTTAGTTTTAAATACCTCTGACGGCTCTACGAAGCCTATAAATGATAGTGCAATTAGAAAATTTAGAGAGAGAGTAGAAGAAGATTTTATTTGAAGAACTTGTTGAATTTAAAAGGCCTTCGGGGTCGAATTGTCGTAAGTCAAAACGTTCTTCTTTTTGAAAGGTTGTTTGGTCGTTGACAGTTTTTAAGTCTGTCATTTATTTTAATAATACTTAAAGCTAAGTATTTGTAAGGTTGTTCGGTTTATACTTCTCTCCATTTTTATTTTGAAATAAATTGTTGTTCGGTTATTTCCCCAAATTTTATTTGGTGTCAAAGTATTAGCGTTAAGTCGACCTGAGTGCAACGAAAGTAGAATCAAAGTTTGTTAAAGTTTCGTAGTTTGATCTCTACACTTTTCATTTCATTACATAAGTGTGTATGTATATCATATGCGCTAAGACTTTAAGATATAGTTAATTTTTCATTTGTTAAAGTTACTAGAAATGCTATGCTGTTCAGTAGACACCAATAGTTAAACATTTGCATGCGAGAATTCTTAATTTCAAAGAAATTATTAATTTTCGGAGTTTACTAGCTTTGCAATAATTTAATTGAATTTATATTATCAAAGTAGTGCCCATTATTTATAGCGTGAAATATTTAGTCAGAAAAATATCTAATTTTTGTTTAGAATGTAAATATGTAGCGTATATTATGGAAATTATGCATTTATGCATGTAGAAACAGAATCTATCCGACGATTAATGGTAACTGAATCCATTCAAATTCATGTCCGGTATAACAAAGTAGAAGAAGCAAATTTTAATTCACAACGCAACTTTACAGCAAAATGGTAGCTTCTATACCCCATTTGCAATACTCCAATTCATATAAACGTATATCGGGATGCATATGATTGATAGAGCATATTATTATCACTTCATAGCTAAATGATAAGATACGAATATATCCAATCTAGATATCATTAATTTCAAAGATTGTAATTGACCCTACTCGGTAATTGTTATTATATGAATGTTTAAAAGCCTGTTAATATAATTTGTAAAATCAGTTTAGATTACGGAATTGATTGAAGAAACATGAATGAATAAGATTGCTTGTGGTCTATCTTTCCATAAATGTGATGAAAGTAAAATTATTTAAAGTAAAAATATTTAAAGTTGCATGCTCATTGAATCTATTTCACTTATTGCCTTGATTATACTTTGAATTAATAAAGGGCCTCAGAATGTTTCGTATTAATTAATTATTATTCCCAAAATTTAAATAAATCAATCAAATGGGATATCTATAAATGATTGCCTTTTAGTGATTTTTATTTCGTTGAGAGTAACTGTGTTTGAGTTATATAATTTTTTCACGCGAAGTTTTTAAAGCCAGCTGAGTAAGTGAGAAATCTATGAATTCTTTTTATGTAAACTGATAGTTAGCCATCTAATGTTAATCTATCTTAGTTGTATGCACTGGCATTAAATAAGAGCTATATTTTTAAAGCCTTCTAGCAATTCCAAGTTGACGTTACTAAAATTGACTAAAGAAGTCTCTATAACTTAAGAAAAACAGTCCTATCAGCAGTCCTATTCAGATAACTAGTCCATATAACATCAGTAAGGAAAGCATCAACAAGTTAATATTTTCTCTGTAAACTTCCTTATATTGACCAAAATCTTTATTTTTAAAGTTGACAATTTAGTATAAATATCCTAGTGGATTCCAATTATCGCCTTTCTTTTACATTTACGGTAGATGCTAAATAAAAAGTAAAAGAAAGCCTAACCATAAGTTTTTGCTGCACTATTGTCAGCATCAGAATAGTAAGCTTCATCGCTTCGTTTTAACTCCATCGGGCGAGCTGTTATTTGATTTTGCATGACATAAGACCTCTTGGATTTCCTGTAATGTCCTGATTCACTTGCAGTTCGGCGATTGAATGAAAATGATTCTTCAGGAATCTGTGTTTTTTGACCAGAATGGCTGCATGTACGTGGCTTGATGGATGATGGTTCGCCTTCACTTGGCGTTATCATATTGGATTTTTTGCATGGGCAGATAATGCGACGATACTGTTGCCGAAATTGTGGTATTTGAAATCCATAAATAACTGGATTAATACTGCTGTTGATAAATACAAGGACAGTTGTAATAAAGTAGAAACCCGTCGGGATATAAACGTTTTCTTGGCCAAATGGAATAACAATAAATACAATTACACTCCATGGTGCATAACATAATACGAAGGCTAATATGACGATTCCCATGGTTCTAGTGACTAGCGCACTTTGTCTCTTGGATCTTGATGATTTTAATGCTGGACGTTTCTTTTTTAAATAAATATATATACGAATGTAGCAAAATATGATGATACTAAACGGTAGTAAGAAATCAATAACAACTTCCAGGATACCGTTGATTAATCCACTAATTCCGACACTCCATGTTGGAATGCATGCCATTTCTACGGGATTAAATTCATTGGCACTCCAGCCCAGTATAGGCCATAACGCGACAAAAGTACTCCATAACCAAACAAAAATAGAGACGTAAATTGCATGGTGCCGTTTAGGCCGAGTTGTAGTTGAACGGCATATAATGCGATAACGGAAGTAACTGATAAACATCAATGTATAAATAGAGCCAATGAAGCAGATGCCGCTAATAGTAGAATGGATATTACACCATACGACACCATAATAATAACGATCAGCAACAATATTAATCAAATATAAGGGCAAGCGTCCTAAAGCTGTTAAGAAATCTAGTAAGGCTAAATTGAGTAATAAAATATTTGTTGCTGTTCGCATGCGACGTTCATTTAATATCGCAATACTAGCAAGCAAATTACCTAAAACTGCTGTGATAATAATAAATACTATAATTCCTATCTTAGTCGCGATCCACTCGCTAGGTGTTCCACATGTCGAATTTATGCAGGGTGTGCTATTGGTAGACATGATTTCCTTGTTAGCGATTGAATAATCCTATCACCGTTTAACGAGGGTATATCTTGAATCTTAAATTTCTGCAAAGTTTAAATAAAAACTGAAAAATTCGAATAAGTGGAAGTTACAATTTAGATCAAGAGTGATAGTTAGTTTAGAAACGTTTAAGAAATCCAGCAAGACTAAATCTTAAATTTCTTTTGAGTTTAAATACAAATTGGAAAGATTTAAATGAGTGAAAGTTATAATTTAGATCAAGATTGATATTTTAACTCTGAGCAAAATAACATGAATACGACCCAGTCAATGTTAATCTGATGTCATCGCCTCCTATTAAGATTTTATAATGATTAATAGACTTTTAGATTTGCAAAGAGGGAGCCAATCGTGATTTTGATGCAACAAGGCCTACTTCCAAGGAATAATAGTGTTCTTTTTGATAAAGAAGTAAACTGAAAACTTGAATTGAAAATTTTTACTAATCTTTTGCGCGACGAGTCTCTGGATCTTTAATAATTTACTTTAGAAGAAAACTTAAGACAATTGATATCATGAATTCCTGATTATATAAAAATTAGGAAGGAATATAGTGACTACTAATCCAGCACAGTAAACAGTATATTATTTTGATATAGGTTTTATTTCCAGGAATTAACAAGTCCAAAATAGAAAGGTTCATTAGTAAATTATCTGCCGGAAACAGCTACCAATGTTGCACATAAATGACTTGGCTACAATCCAAATTTCGATGCGCTTACTTCTTAAGGGTGCTTGATAAACGTCTGTTCTCTAATCTTCCTTCGTTCTGCAATGAATTGCAAAATATTTTTAATGATAGTCAAATCATACAAAAAATTTTGGCATCAAATACAAGTATTATAGTCTAGTATCCGTTTTATAGTAAATTAATAAGGTAATTGTAGGCAAAGTATTAACATATTACAGAGGTATAAATGCGAACAAATTAATAACGATTAAAAGGGTGCTAGAAATTGGGTCAAACTCATAATTTATTCTAATTTCTTTGCGAGAGTAATATTTTTCATATTTCTAGCCTCTACTACATGCTAAGCGGTTCAATTAGAAGTTTTGCATCTGAAGAACAGCATTTATGAATTTCTTTTACGCATTGTTAATATTGTTTACTCTGACAGACATCTAAAATGGATCAAGCAGATGTAACTTTATTTTTATTTACTGAAGGTTTGAGCGTTGCAGTAAACTACGGTGTCTTAAATCGGTCCTGCATAAAAAATAAGGACGTGACTCAACATGAGGAAGAGATATTACATGTTCTTATGCAAATTCTAGCTTGCCACGAAGGATAACGGCAGATTACATATGACTTCTTATTGTAACAAATGGTATAAACCCGGAAGCGATTTAAAATTGAACATCTTGTAGCATAAAGGTGTATAGAATCATGAACGCAAAATTATGGCCTTGGACTAATAAAGGGGCATAAAATGGCAAGACATCTACGTCTTTTAAAGTAAATATGACGATAACTTGCCTTCGATATTTGCCGATCTGGTAATATGAGTTGCCTCTAAGACTTAGATCGGATTGAAATTATACATCGATTTTCTCAATTTCGCCCTGTTAATAACTAAAATACATACCACTATAAGCTAGCGCTATCTCTGCTATAAAATGAAAACTAATAAATACCGTAATTTTAATAAACAATCGTGATAGACGTCAATTGCCTAATAGTTACGAAAATTCCGCTTAAAACGAATGTAATTTACTACATAAATGTTTTGCAAGGATAGTATTTAACAAATTAGCTTCTATAAAACTGATACTATAAGGTTATAAAGATTTCATGAGAATGATGTTAATTAGTCGAGTTTATACTGTTAGAGTTGTTATTAAAAGAATTATATTAAGATTGGATGTACCAATATTTTTCTTATGAGATAAAATTAGTAAATTGAATTGAAATTTTCCGAAATTTTATAGTTTTAACCAATCATAATTGGGGTCGATATGTAGAGCAAAGGGTTTTGAGAACGAGCAAAAACAAACATGAGTTATTGTTGACTTTGGAAATGTCTGCAACAACCAATTCAGGATGACTTAATGATTTTCTTAATTGTTTGAGCGATATTTTATATTTTCAAATAAGTTACATTCTGCCAAAGTTTGAATTGAACCGATCAGAGTTTTTCGGCTCGAGAATACGATAATAAATCAGTTCTGAATCAAATAGTTTGCTTAACGCTGATAGATCTCATATTTAAAAACTACTTAATCTATTGCATTTGTTCAAAGGAATGATATACATGAAACAAAGTCCAAAATTTCTATAAATTATAGATGAAAATGTCTTAAAATAAAGTTATGCAAATTTAGAAAAAAATTATCAGATTTCGATATTAAAATTTAATTGATATATATCAATAAGTAATGATATTCGTTAAAATTCTTCATAGAAATTTCACCTGAAAGTGATTTTTCTCGCTGACTTAACTCAGTCTTGTTAATCTTATCACCAAAGGAAACTGATTGCTAGAAAAATGTTACAGAATTCAATTTCGATACAGAAGATGAGGGATAAAGTTATTGATAATTTGTAGTACAATCAAATCAATTTTGTCTTTCATCTTTAAACTAAATCGCCTTAAAACGCTAATAAAGGTTATTAATTGTGTGTAAGAATTTATTTCTAATCTAGATTAACATTAATACTAGTATTGAATAACATTTCATTTGTAAAATCCGCCTATAGCTAACATGTGCTATTATTCCAGGCGCCAAGATTACTGCTATTGTAACTGTTACGCTCCGTAAAATAATTTTACTTGATCTAAGACATATTCTAAGCTATCTATAATTTCTATCCTGTTGCAATTATACCTTGTTGTTATCAAAGTGGGAAATATTATCCGTTTCAAATACTGAACTTTATTCGAATTCTATGCAGATGATACAACAGTAGACATATAAGCTATTAATACGGTAAATAAGCATTACCTGGCTTTTTCGGCTCCGCTAATGGCATAGAATAAAAGTAAGCAATTTAAGCTACGTATATCCAGCATAGGCAAATAGTGAGATTTTGTCCAACTTAAATGTGGAATGGATAAATTTTGTCAATAGCTCTGGAATTTTAAACGATGGTAGATGGTGCTTATATTTAGCTATAACCTGAATAACATATTAAATCCATTTAGATTATTTATTAATGCATACAACCTTTACCAATTTATAGTTAATCAAAGACCTACTGCTTTCTGATCATTTATCTACCAGGGCAAGAAATCACTGGATAACGAAGGCATTTACAACTTTGAACTTTTTACAATTGCTTGCCTAGGAACAACACAGAGGCTTCAAATTACAACCAATTTTTGAGAACTTCTTAAACATAGAAACGATATCATAAATTAGAAAATATACTGCATTTCAATGGATCTTGCCAAATTATGATAGCAAGAATAGTGAAGAACGAACAATTGCTGCCAGTTTAATCTCTAGTTATGTCATTATTTAATAGAAGCTAAACAGAGAGCAGATAGATTGTAACAAAATACCGAAGCATCATCTGCATACAATGTAAATCAAAGTTCTTTTAAGTAGAGTTAGTTTTGATTCATGAAGATTTGTGTTAACCAATTACAACTACTACAGTTGAACTATACCAATATAATTGATGCAATAAATTAGCCATCGGGTGACAAGATAGAAATCAGATTGAATATGGATCGCTTTCAAATTAAAATTTCTCCATCAGAAGTACGACTAAAAAGCTATATATTCCCTCTTTTTTGAGATATTTGAAGAAAGTTTTGTTTGTTTCACATGATTAATACCTTGCAAAACAACTGTATCTTATCAAGATAGAGAAATGATTCTCTCTGTATTATCAGTAAAGTATGGAAGTTATTGACGTATAAACATGAATAATATTGTGATATATTGTATTATCTCTATCTTGTAACAAATTGATCATCAAATTATTATTTTACGCTTGGTTGGATTTTCTGTTCTATAGGAAAATAATCTTGTTAGGAATTAATCAATGATGTTGCGATCACGGCAATCAACTATGAAATGAACTCAAAACAACTGAAGGTCGATAAAGGAAACCAAGGATTTGAAGTAGTAACATTAAAAATTAATGTTCGTTTATTATGGAGATATGTAATACAGCAAACTGCCTTAATAAAGCCTTAGAATTTACATTCTAGAAACTAGCTCAAATAATTACAATCCGTGGTTGACTAGCAAAATAATAGAATAAAGTTTATTCGCACTTGAGTAAGTACGATATTTTTTAGTCTATCATAAGGTCGATTTTAAATGATGAATTTGATCCATTCTATTCCGTTCATCTGTGGGCATGCTATGATGAAACGAATAAAATCAATAGAACAAAAAGAGTAGCAGTAAATGCTGTCTTAAGAAAATTTCAATGACGGTCTAATGAGAAATTGTACTTGAAAGAGATCCATCTTTACAATATTAATCCATTAATGACGGTATAGAATGGATTTGATTAATACAAAAAAATTTTTAATCGCCACGCTTTGATATCATACCTTGAATATAGATAGGGAAAAGCGATCAAAAGTTGTCTTCAAGAATGGATTTTAGTAATCGTTCTATGTTACAATTTAGAATACAAGTGGGAAGAAATTGGTGTCAATTTAAACTTATACCAATCTAGCCTACAACAGAATAGAGCCAATCTAGGAAAGACAATCGTTTCAATGATGAATTGGGTGGAATTGATGTTTTAAACAAGTCAATAAAATTGAAAACCCAATAAGATCTTTCCAATACAACTCTTTCTGATCAAATAACTGAAACATTATCATTTCCTTCCCATTTTATAGATGACGGTACCAAATGTAGTTTGCAATTGACCTAATTATCCACTTAACAAATAAGAACAATATAACACCAGACTATTCAAATTTATGCAGCATCTCTCTATTGCCGTCAATGAGAATGACAATACTTGTTTTGTCGCAATTACTGATGACTGATTAAGTCAACATCGT